TCCTCCACTCTCGTCCACTCCCTCCTCCACTCCCTCCTCCACTCCATCCTCCACTCCCCCCTCCACTCCCTCCTCCACTCCATCATCCACTCCCTCCTCCACTCCATCATCCACTCCCTCCTCCACTCCATCATCCACTCCCTCCTCCACTCCCTCCTCCCCTCCCTCCTCCACTCCATCATCCACTCCATCCTCCACTCCGTCATCCACTCCCTCCTCCAATCCCTCCTCCACTCCATTCACCACTCCCTCCTCCACTCTTTCCTCCACTCCCTCCTCCACTCCCTCCTTCACTGTCTCTCCTCCACTCTTCTCCACTCCATCTTCCACTCTCTGCTCCACTCAGGAAAACAAGCTTCCACCTTCACTTTTATTTCAAAATCATGAGGGTTCTCTTGGTTTCGTGTATAAATGCAAGATGATGAAGGGACAAAAGAGGGGATGATGTGGCCTGTGATTAAGGAATTCAGTACAGGGATTAATGGTGGGACAGATGGTGACAGTGGCAGTGCCCGGCTTGAGGTCCAGACTCCACTCTAGGCTCTTTTGATGGGTGAGACCCGGGCCAGAGCCTTGGCCATGAGGCCCAAGGTTCATGCTGAGGATTTTAAGGTCTCCATCGGGCACAGGCAGCAGTGGGCCCAGCATACTGGACTGAAAAGTTCAAGGTCATAATTGTAGTTAAATAAAACTCAGAAACTCAATCTGGCCCAGGGAGGAAATACACCAGTTTTTTCCCACACAGTGGTTTGGCTAACGAGAAGTTTACAGCTGGACTATGAGGCTCCATGACCAGTGGCCGTGGGTGGGGACAGGCAGGCACTGCAATGCCTTGGCTGGGCTTCATGCCCCACCTAGGGGCTCTGGCCTTGCAGCACTGTCTCCCGGCCCAGGACTCTGCAGCACACTGCACTGGCCCTGCCCCTCTGCCCTCACCCACTCCCTGGCTGGTCTCGGGTCAGACAGCAAAGCAGGTCCTCTAAGCCAGACAGACGTGGCATCAAACCTCATAGCCTTGCAAAGTGATGGAGACACAGCAAAAGCTGACACCTGTCACCTGTGAATCAGGCTCCAGTTCTCTCACTGAGGCCTGTCACCAAAAGTCCTGAGTCCCGGTTACAGCAGCCTTCTGCGCTTACAGCAGCAAACCCAGCACTGGGCTTTTCTCTTCTCCTCTGTTGGTTCTCCAACATCTACCATCAGTGGCCACCCCTTCTCCTGATGCCACCCTCCTGTGTTAAGGACAGATCCTAGTTCCACTGTCCAGAATCTTGGGTCCTCTGGCTCTGAAATGCCCTGAATCTCTCCCACCCTCATATCAGCCCATCAACGACCCTCTTCCTGCCAGCCGCCCCCTCGTACACCCAGGGCTCCTGTTAACCTTCCAACCCTGACTCCTGCGGGATGACAGCCCAAAAGAAGAGGGCACAGGGGATCCACCCAGCAACAAAAGGGTCTAAGCAGAGATGAGAGGAGGGGCCCATCTCTCCTCCTCTTGTCCTGGTGCCTCAGGCTCCATAAATTCCCAGAAGCAAGATGGCGCCATGGGCCTAAAGCTGGCATTAAACCAATATGATTTCAGGGGCAAGACCAAACTGCTGTTCCAAATTTTAGTGCATGATTGGGCCAAAATGGCATTATCACTTTCCTGGGCAGAGGATCCTCATTTCTGAGTCCTTGCCTTATGCCGGGGCCAAGGGCTCCAGCCGCAGTGGCAGCAAAGCCAAGACTCTCCCCCAACTCAGCATGGAGGGGAAGGAAGGAAGACCAGGGCCAGGCAGCGGGCTGGTAGTGGGGGGTGTGGGAGCCAAGAGGGGGATCAGACTAGGGCCAGGGAGGGCCCTGGAGGTAGTTGCTAAGCTGAGGTGTGTGAGGGACCCTCTGGGAGGGCTTAACCCTTTGGGATGCAGAGTTGGGTTTTCCTAGCTCTGACTCCTGCCTCCATCCCCCTGGCCCATAGCCCGTGCATGCCTTGGTCCCTGCCTGCTCCTCCCAATGCCACCGCATGCCACCTTCAGGCTCTGCTGGGACCTCAGCTCCTCAGCTTCCTGCCCCTCTCCACCTCCAGCTCTCAGAACTTTCTCCTCCCTGTCACTGAATGCACTGTGAGGTCCTTGCTCTGAGAGGGCAGGGAGGGCCTGGGACTCTTCCCACAGTGTCCTGTCGGGGCCTGGTACAAACTCAAACTTGAATGTGCATATGGGTCACCCAGGTAGGGCCTCGCGGGCCTGGGAGCTTGCACTCTAAGGAGGCCAGGTGCTGTCTATGTTGCTCAGCTTCCGGTTGCAATGCAGGGCTCCCTTCCTGAGCTCACCACACACTGGGGTCACTCTGGGCTGTGGCTACCACTGGGCCTCGACTCTGCCTCCTCCAAAAACCACAAACTCCCCAGGGCAGCACATGTGTCACAGATGTCTAACAGCTTTATTGGGGTATAATTGACAGCAATCAACTCTATGTTTAAAGTATACAATGTGGTCAATTTTGACATATATAAACAACCATAAAATCATCGCCACAATCAAGATAGACACAGTAAACATCACTCCCAACAATTCCTCCCACCTCACCCCATGTTTAGGCAATTCACATTTCTTGTCATGATAGATTAGTTTGCACTTTCTAGAATTTTATACATACAATGTAAGGCAAGATAGGTGGGTGGGGACAGGCAGGTGCTGCAATGCCTTGGCTGAGGTTCATACCCCACCCAGGGGGCTCTGACCTGGCAGCCCTATCTCCAGACCCAAGACCCTGCAGCACGCTGCCCTGGCCCTGCCCCTGCCCCTCTGCCCTCACCCACAGCGAGGGCACCTCATCACACAAGATGTATTTTTGTCTGGCTTCTTTCATTCAGAATAATTATTTTGAGAATCATCCCTGTTATGGTGTGTGCACCAATAATTTAGTCCTTTTTATTTTTTTATTTGTATTAATTTATTTTATTTTATTTTTTTGAGATGTAATCTCTTTCTGTCGCCCAGGCTGGAGTGTAGTGGCGTGATCTTGGCTCACTATAAGCTCCACCTCCCAGATTCACACCATTCTCCTGCTTCAGCCTCCCAAGTAGCTGGGACTACAGGCGCCCACCACCACCACGCCCAGCTAATTTTTTTTGTATTTTTAGTAGAGACGGGGTTTCACTGTGTTAGCCAGGATGGTCTCGATCTCCTGACCTCATGATGCACCCATCTCGGCCTCCCAAAGTGCTGGAATTACAGGCATGAACAACAGCGCCTGGCCTAGACCTTTTCATTAGTAGTAGTATTCCATTGTATAGATATGTCACAATTGGTATATGTGCCTACTACAAATAAAGCTGCTATAAATGTCATGTACACATCTCGGTATGGACACACATTTTGTTTCTCTTCAAAACGTATAAAAGTATACATTTAACTTATTAAGAAACCATCCTGGTGGGGTGCGTTTACTCATGCCTGTAATTCCAACACTTTGAGAGGCCAAGATGGGAAGATCATTTGAGGCCAGAAGTTTGAGACCAGCCTGGGCAACATACTGCCACCCTGTTTCTACAAAAAAGAATAGAAAAGAGAAAGAAAGAAACCGTCCAACTGTTTTCCAAAGTTATACCAATTTATATTCCCACCAGAAGTGTATGAGAGTTCCTTCCAGTTGCTCCACATCCTCACCAACACTTGGTATGGTCAGTCTTTCTAATTCAAACATTCTAATAGGTGTGTAGTGCTTTCTCATTGTGGCTTTAATTCATGTCTCCCTAATGACGAATGACATTGAGCAATTTTTCATGGGAGTATTTGTCATCCAAATGTCTTCTTTGGTGAGGTGTCTGTTCAAATCTTTTGCTAATGTTTTGACTGGGTTGTTTGTTTCTTATTTATCACATTTGAGAGTTCTTTACATAGTCTTGATACAAGCCCTTTATCAGACATGGGTTTTGCAAACAGTTTCTCCCAGTCTATGGTTTGTCTTTTCATGCTTTTCCAAATGTCTTTCAAAGAGCAGAAGTTCTTAATTTTGATGAAGTCCAATTTATCAATTTTTTTCTGTATGAATCATGCTTTTGGTGTTGTGTCTAAGAACTGTTTGTTTCCATTTCAGTGCCTGGCCCTAGGCATGTATGCCCTTGTTGCTCAATCAGTGCTTGTGTCCAGCAGAGCAAAGGATGAGGCAGGCTGGCCGGGGGACTTTGGCTGTAGATGAAGGAAGACTAGAGGTGCTAGGGGACATGGCTCCAGAGGGCTGAAGAAACAGTGGTGGTACCTCGAGATGTCCCAAGAGGTGAGCAGGGCAGGCTGCAGCTGGGGAGGGAGGCCTGGGGCAGGGAGGTGCAAGTTGGGAGCTTGGATGCTGTGTTCTCCTGCCATTGGTGGCAAATGGCATCTCTCCCCTTTCCTTTCTCTCCTTCCTTTCCTCCTGTCCTTGCTTCCTTCTTTATTTCTACTTTCTTTTTGTTTCTTGCTTACTTGTTTGTGAGCTGGCTTTACATCTCTTTTGTGAACTCTTTGCCGTATTTCTCTCCTAGGCTCTTCTTGTCTGTCTATCTAGGGGACCTCTGCATGTAGTAAAGGCACCAACCTTTCCTATTGCTCCCAATCTTCCTTGGAATCACGATTTTCTTTCTTTTGACGCTGCCAACCTTTGCAGGCTTTGACCAAGCCACCATAGAACATTCTCAGACAAGTCACTTATCTCAGGCTCCCAGGTGTGCTTTCTCTCCCCAGTGACCCCAGACCTACTGGGGTAGAGGGAGGGGTCCATCTATTTAAGTGAGGAAGGGGTAGATCTGGGTCTTCTAGAAGAATCTTTGAAAGTTCTGTAGCTGGATGGGGTGGCGCATGCCTATAGTACCAGCTACTTGGGAGGCTGAGGTGGGAGGATCACTTGAGCCCAGGGTCAAGGCTGCAGTGAGCCAAGATTGTGCCACTGTACTCCAGCCTGGGCAACAGAGTGAGACCATGTCTCAAAAAGAAAAAAAAAGAAAGCTCTGATGCTCAAGAAGACTTGTCATTCTCACAGCCTTTGCTGCCCCCACCAAAAGTTTCCCCATGCTCTGGTGCCCCTGTCTCCTCCCCAGCTGCTAGGGCAAGCTGTTTGTGGGAGACAGATCACAATAACAGCATCAGTCTGGAATCTTCAGTCATGAGTGACCAAAACCACAGATGAAAAATTATTGGCTCCTGTAACCAAACCAGGGGAGGCAGGGTGGCACCTAAATTGCCACACAAACATAGTGGCTTAAAACAGCTCACATTGACCCTCTCACCGTTTCTGCAGGTCAGAAGTCCAGGCTGGCTCAGTTAGTTCTCAGCTCAGGATTTTATAAGGTTGGAATCAAGGTGTCTGTCAGCCACCGGGGCTTTACCGGGAGGCTCAGGAAGATCTTGGGTCTAGGCTCATGAGAGCATGGGCAGCATCCAATTCCTTAAGGGTGTGGGACTGAGGTTCCTGTTTCCTGGCTGGTATCAGCCAGGGCTGCCCTTGGCTCCCCAAGGACCCGTCTGGTGTCTCTGGACCAAATATGGGTCCAGTAAAGGAGGCCAAAGCCTTCTCATGCCCGGAATCTGCAACTTTCTCTTCTGCTGCATCGCCTCTGCTTCCAGCCAGAGAAAGTTCCTTGCTTTTAAGGACTCGTGTGATTAGGTTGGGCCACCCCAGATCATCCAAGACAATTTTTCTTTTTTAAGGTCCATGACCTTAATTACATCTGCGAAGGCCCTTTTTTCCCTGCCCTAGCATAGTCCCAGGGTCCAGGGACAAGGGTATGTAACATAGT